GATTTTGAGTCGTTCCCCGAAGTGGCAACAACTCAACAATCCCGACGGCGTATCATTCCGGAAAAGATCCACCGTCGACGCCGAGGTTGAGGTCGACGAGACCATCGGTTCTACCGATCAAATCCCTTCCTTCAACGTTGCGGTTTCCGATGACGAGGACCCCATTCCACGGCCGATCGGAAGAAAGAAGGCAAAATCCATTGCCTCTGGTTCGGGAGGGTCCGCCTCTATTTCTGCTTCTCCCCGCGACGAAATCGGCCGGGCAATGGTTAAACAACTTCGGGCGTTCAATCTCCAAGAACAAGAGAGGATGAAGCTTAAAGAGAAGGAGTTGAAGCTAAAGGAGCATGAGGCCGAGATGAAAGTCATGCAAACCGACCCCGCGACGTTGTCGGAGTTTGGACGAATTATCTACGAGCAAAGAATGAGAGAGATCAAGGAGAAATATAATTTTCCTTAGTTTTTTTATTAATGTATCTTTTTTTTTAAAATTATTGTCGCTTTTTTTAATTTAATTAATGTGTTTTTTATTATTCGTGTTTCAATTTAATTAAATAAAAAATTAATTACATTTTATTAATTTAATTTTAGAAGATGTATATTTAAAAATGTAAAAAATGAAGGTTTGAAGCCCAGTTTTGAAGCCCCGGGGCTTCAAACCCATTTCTAGTGAATTTTGGGTGTAAGTTAAAGCTGACGTGGCAGAGAGAGAAAGTTTGAAGCCCCGGTTTGAAGCCCCGGGGCTTCAAACGTATTACCAGTGCTCTAAGAGGTACCCAAAGACAGTACAAACACAAGCCCTTCATGTTTATATTTATCTTAGGTTTACAAATTACAACTAAGGGTAGAAATCGAATTTTCTTCATTTACGATTTAAATTCTTATTTCAAACTTGTTTAAACACTTTATTTTTATTGGAATTTTTTAATATTCCGTAATAAATTTATAAAATTTGTAATCATTTTATTTGAGAATCAAATACAGTATTTTTCTTCTAAATGCAGGTAGTTCAATCAATGGGGACAAACAATTAAATACCACACCTAACAAATGGGTGGCGTTGACTAATTAAGGGAACAGGCAGCAGGAGATTATTACTCGGTCATCAATTAAAACACTGTACGTACTACGGACTACTGTTTCTCGTGCATGGGCCCTGGGTCCCGTACCCTCCTACCCACCCATGTGTTGTGGGAGCAATTACCTATCAGTGAAGATTTTTAGCTTGAGATTCCTGTCCATGTAATATGTGTTCAGCGAACACATATTAGTTTAATTATGAAATTTGCTGACAATCCATCACTATACGCTGCAACCCATCACTTTTTCTAAATAAATAAGTGTGTTTGTTGAACACACATTTGTTCTAAATGAGTATGTGTTCGCTGAACACATATTAATTCAGTTATTAATTTATCTATAAATTAATTCAGCGAACACAACTTACCATCACTTTTTCCAAATAAATAATTGTGTTTGTTGAACACACATTTGTTAAGTTTATTATACACAAAATATTGAAAACAACATGTACTAAAAATTTGACAAAAACAACATACACTTTATATTTAAAAAAGATACACGAAATATTTAAAAGCAACATACATTGAATATTAAAAAACAACATACACTGAATATTTAAAAAACAACTTGAACTGAATATTTAAAAACAACATACACTAAATATTTAAAAACAACAAACACTAAATATTACGATGAAAAAAACGATTACATGTAGCATGCGTAGTTGGTAGCACTTTGATCCTTCCTTCGTAAATCTCATCCCATTTCTCCCTGGTAGCGTTTTTGCTTGCGACGCCCAGAACGCGATATTTCTCCTTCTGGTCTTATTGGCGGCAATATCGGATATTCTACGTAATTAAAATTATTTGGGAATATCACAGGTGTAATATGACCAGCGTAGCACATCTGATACCGCTGCAAACTATATAGGTGAGAGACACAATCATCTGCACGTTGTCTGAAAGAATGGAACAAAGAGTGTGCATGCACGCAGGGAATCCCGTCTTCTTGCCATTGTCCACAAGTACACAACTTACTCCCCAAGTCGATCACGAAGCTATACATATGCCCTGGGTTAGAGAAGGAAGCCCTAGAGATAATGTATTGATTTCCGCCATAATGCACCGCTTGAAACATTTGTTTATCTTTTTCCCTCATTTCAGAGATCTTTGAAATCTTCGGAATAAATCGTAGGTTTTTTCGTTGCCAATCAAAACATGACCTGCGTCGTGACTCAAACGAATCAACGAGTTTATTGTACGACATCATGATAATAGCACTCACCGGTAGCATCCGACAACCTTTTAGCATATTGTTGAAGCTCTCTGAACTATTCGTGGTAAGTATCCCACATCGACTACCACCGCGAACTTCAGGCCTCACTAAAATGAGGCGTGACCAAGCCCAAAGTTGTAACAACAAAGCACATCCACAAAATCTAGGCCTCTCGGATGTTTTAAGTGCAACTTTACACAAGCTGCGATATAAGTTTGCCAGAACTACCGAACCCCAACTAAATTGTGCAGTAATCTCAGGAGTACGTAGTAGAGGTAGAAACTCTATAGAGACAAACTGACCAGAGGCATTTGGGAGCAAAGTACCACCCAGAAGTTGTAATACCACACTAGCGGTATATCTCTCCGCCTCCCTGTCAGTGTTACCCGGCAAAACCTGTCGCTCAACTACATTGTCAATTATATTCTCTAGCGCGGCCAAGTTAAATCCGGCTTGTCCAAGATGGTGGTCCATGATATCGAATCCAATAACTTCGCGAAAAAGTTCACGATAGGTATTTGGATCAACCATTTCCTCAAAAACTACAGGTTCTCTGTCTATTTTTAAACCCATTAAACATTCAACATCCTGTAAAGTGATACCAAGTTCACCAAACAGGAAGTGAAATGCATGCACTTTGGGCCTCCACCTTTCAACGAGGGCCGTAATCAAACTATGGTCTATTTTAATGGGGTGCACCCAATGTACCACATAAAACCCACACCTTCTTAAAATTTGTTCTACCCGATCATCATTAAACTTTTCTAAATTACGAGAATCATTTTGACATACTGATACTTTTTTGTCGGTAAAGCCCGGTTCCGCCCAAACACGACTTGATCGATGAGTGTTTTGGAGGGTGAGCATAGCATCGTTCATCGGACCGGCAAGTTGACGTTGCATGTCGTCCATCTGCGTAAAAAAACAACAATGAATTAATGATTATTTTCAAATGAAATTATATAATTAAATTAATACTATATATTAGGTATTAAACAAAAAATACCCTTTGTTTTTTAAAAATAAACGCGAAAAGAGGGGAGAGGGTGGAGAGATGCAAACTCGAGTTCAAAGAACTCATTATTTATAACTTGGATTTTGAACTAAATTGTGTTCGGCGAACACAGGTTTGACTTTAGTTTTTTTTGCAGTCCGTGTGGCATTGTTGCTTTCCACACGCAAATGGTTTCACACGCAAAGCTTTTTCTTTTGGCAGAGTTTTTTCTTTTCACAGTCCTTTTGTCAGATTTGCAGGCTTATTGTGTTCAGCGAACACACTTTATTTTATTTTTTTTAAATGTGTGTTCAACAAACCCACTTTACATCAATTGGAAATAGTTTGAAAAAATAGGAATTGAGAACCTACTTTATTCACTGATCGGGAAAGCACCCTGTGTTGTGTTGCTAAAAAGAATGATCCCGATCGTCAAGGATTTCTCATGTGGGATCTAACGGTCATCGAGAGAAAATAAATTACATTTTAATCCCAGATTGCTGGTAAAAGTAAAACACCCATCCAGTACTTGGAGAGACATACTTAACATAGTTCACTTCCAATGCAATTCTTGGGAATTAAACTCGAATCTTACTCTCTTGATACTCTATTCTTTTACCAATTGCACAGTGCTCACCAGCTACTTGTTAAGCAAAAAAACTAAAAAGTATTGAGTAATTACGGAGTATTATTCATTTTGAAATAGAGAAAGTATTAAAAAAAATTGGGAAATTTACTTAAATAGCACTAAAACATAATGACTTTCTCTAAATAGCACCATATGTGTTGTATTTCCCAATGAAGCACTTTTACACTATGTTTGGTTCAAGAAATTTGGAAGGAAAAGAAAAGAAAATGGTTTTCTCTCATTTTCCTCACCAAAATGGAAGGAATTGGATTTTCCATCCACTTGATACATTTTGCCTTCTCATTTTTTTTTCTTTCCACTTTTTCTTTCTTTTCCCTTCTAACCAAACAAGAAAAACAGTTTTCCACTTAATTTTTTTTTCTTTTCTCTTTTAAATTCCTTGAACCAAACATAGTGTTAGTCATTATCAATTGGTCATTATTCAGGTAAATGTTTATCATCACTGGTTACTATTTCTCCTTCTGGACATTATTAAATGCTATTTAGGAAATGAAACAATTTAAGTGCTATTTAGAAATATGACTTAAGTTTTAGTACTATTTAGTGCAAATATTTATAGCGGTGGTGTAATAGTACGTGTAAGTGTATACTATTACGGAGTATATAAATATGAGGAGGAAATAGGTAAGCAGTAACTAATAAGTGGACGCATGCACAACAACGCAACACTACACATTAATTGTATATGGCACCAGCAGCGGCGGCCGGCGGAATGTACCGACGCGGTGGCAATCACCAGGGAAGAGGCAGTGCAGCGGCGGCAGTTCTGTGCCTTCTGCTTCTCATAATTAGCTCCGAGAACACGGCGGTCCACGCTGCCGCTGCCGTTTACTCCATTGACTGGAGCTTCAGCCCCAAAGTCATAAACCCACTCGCAAATGGAAAGACCTTTAGAGCAGGGGACACACTCTGTAAGCATCCATATATACATACATATATGCAATTTATTTATATATTCTGTAAATTTAATCTTTGTGCATTAAGAAAAAAATCTATCTAAACAGGAGCAAAAAGTACAAAAGTACCAAAATAGGAGTGTAAACTCTTTTAAAACCAGAATAGGGGTATATATAATAGCAGTGTAATGTAAGAATACGCGTTGATGGTGTGATGCAAAAGTGATACCATACAATGTAATATGGTCAGTATGATCCGTCAACCGTCGGTAATCTGAGGCGATACTCAGGTAGCCGGCAACGACATATAACAGTGTAGCGATGATAATGTGGCAGTTACAATATGAAAGTGTAGCAATGACAGTGTGAACTCCTATTTTACTCATATCTAAGTAGTTTTCCTCTTTTACATTTTGGGTTTTCTTAAAATTTTGTTGGGAAATTTATCTAAATAGGATTAAAACATAATGACTTTCTCAATATAAGATCATATGTTTTGATATTCTAATGTAGGATCATTGGTCATTATCCATTAGTCATTATTCAAGTGAATGTCCATCATCACTGGACATTTTTCTTGTCATTAGACATTATTAAGTCCTATTTAGGCAATAAAAAATTTAAGTCTTACATTGATACTCCGTATATAAATGATTTATCTTTTAGTCAAATTTAGTAGAAATTTTTTCAATTATTTTGTTTGTGGCTGCAGTGTTTAAGTACAGCCCTGGGTTCCACAACGTGGTGGAGGTGGACAAGGCAACCTACGACAAGTGCGGTACGCCGCCGGCCAAGGCTAAGGTGTATGCTTCTGGGTCGGACAGGGTCACCCTTACCAAGGGACAGCATTACTTCATTTGCAGCTTCGCAGGCCATTGCAAGGGTGGAATGAAGATCCCTATCTTCGCCGCCTGAACATTTGAACCAAAACCTCTGTTACTCTATATTCACACAAGGAGTATTTGAATAAGTGACATACTTTTTGTTTTCATATGATTGATCAGCTATGGTATTTTCTAATGTTTGGAAAATGCCAATAGATCTATATACGTATACATATATAGATTATATATATGTTCCTGTAATGTGTGGTACGTTGAGCTCTTTAAATATAATTCCATCTCTAGTTATATCTAAATCTATGATTCCTTGTGTGAATTTTAATTACTCCGTATTAATTACATTAATTTTCATTGTGTATTAATAAATCGAAATATATGGATTGGTTATATAGTTTTCTGTAATTTAAATATCGTTTCCACGGTAATATTTAATATATATACTCCGTGTCAAATATTTTTTTTCCTTTCTTTTTTTCTTGTCTCGCAAAGATTTTTCCTTTTCTATTAAATATCACTTTTGTCTCTATTAATTTTTAACTTATCTATTACATCATACTTTTTTACTAATAATGTACTCATTACATCATACTTTTACCTATCAAATCAATAGTATTTTGAAAAATCAACACAAAATTATCTCTCTCGTTTCCTCAAAGTGAAAAAGGAAATATCTTTATGGAATAGATGAAGTACTACATAAATTTTATTTAATTCATCATTAATATTTATCTGCCAGTTTAATACATATTTTTTTGATATTTTAAAATTATTTTATACAAAATGCAAGTGTTAATGTGAATTTAAAAATTTTAAAACCAAACTCATAATCCATTGGGTCGACCCGAACTCGATGACATTGAGTCATGAGCATACAGTTCTCAATCTAAATTTGAATTGACTCGAACCTGAAATAACTAAACCCGAAGTGATCGAACTCGACCTAACCGACAAATTTGCTAGCTCTACTTGTGAGCAATACTTTTTCTTCTTCTAAACACATTTTCATTGTACACTTTCTGTTTTTTTTGACATTTTTAAAAGTTTCCTCAAGTTAAATGAAAGGGTAACATGTTTACACATGCAGTGAGTAATAAATAAACATGGAGAAATTTATCTAAATAGCACTAAAATATAATTACTTTCTCTAAATAGAATCATACGTATTTTTTTCAATATAACACTTTTAGTCATTTATCCATTAGTCATTATTCAAATAAATGTTCACCATCAGTGGTCATTGTTTCTCCTTCTGGACATTATTAAGTGCTATTTAGGGAACAAAATAATTTAAGTACTACAAAAATTTGATTTAAGAAGGTAAAGCAACTCCAATGGGAGTTGTATATGAAAGGGTAAAGAGAAATATTTGTGATATATACCTCTTTTCATTAAAAATCACATTCCAATGGGAGAGGTAAATAAATAGGTATTATACCTTCTTCAATTTTGAAGAGGTATCTTTACCTTCTTCATTTGGGGAGGTATATCAATTTTCCCACCTTTTAAATTTATTTCATCAATTACTTTAGTTATTGTATTTTTGCTTGAATGTATTATTTATAAATTATTAATTTGTATCTTTGTCATTGTAAAACTTAACAAGTCAAGAATTAACAAAAAAGGGATACTTTGTTTTTTAATCTTGCACTCTGTATTTTTAAGTTTTTTTCTATTCGGGTATTTATAGTTTTACATGTGTAATTAGACATAATGTATATTTAATTATTTCAAAACTGACATTCTATTTTTTTTCCCCAATAAATTAGTTGTATTTCTATAAAATCTTTAAATTTAAAAATTTAATCAAGAAGAAACAAAGACAACAAACCTCAAATTTACCTCCCCATGATTTTTTTAAGAATGTATATTTTCTTTTCTAATAATTAAAATTTGATTTAAGAAGGTAAATCAACTAATTTTTTCCCAATAATGTATGGAGATGGATTTTTTCCCTCTTTTGCCTTTTGATTTACCTTTCCCCATTGGAGTTGCACACTTTTTGGAAAGGTAAACTTGATCATTTGGAGAGGTAAATGAGATATATACCTCTCCAAAACACCTCTTACCATTGGAGTTGCTCTAAGTAACCGAACACATAGATTAAGAAACATGAAAATGTGTTTTTGGAAATGGTGCAATGATAAACATAAAAATATTCACAAAAATTTTTCCAAAAAATTTAAAATAAAATCTTTTTTGAGACACAAAAAATGGAACATTATTAAGGGACACAAAGAGTAATATCTAGCCCTTCCCTCTTGAAACATGACCATAATCTACCAGTCCAAAAATGTAAAGGGTATTGAGGGCCACAACGGCCCATTTTTCCGGCCAATTTTCCCGGAAGATTGGTACATGAGGTTGAATTTTGAGAATCAATTTTTAATTTATCATTCACTCAACCATTAAATAAAAGTCAAACATGTTAGTGAAATGAAAATATTGTCATTACATAATATTTTCAAAATGCTATTTTAACGTCTATTATTGTTGACAAACGAGTTCATAATCAATTAAATAATGATCGAGTAGAATCTAACTGATTTTTTGAATAACAAAAAACAATGTAATAAAGAAAGAGTCTATGTTAGATGCTTTCTGATGATCGTGTACGGAGTACACCCCTCTCATTGAGTGTTTCTTTAGTTTTCACTTTTGCAATCAAAATTGATAAAATTTGACCATTAATTAAATAAAGTTTATACTACCTCCGTCCCGTGAAACATGAGACATTTGCTTTTTAGGAGGGATTTAAGGGAGTGTATTTTCGTATTGAATTTCCAAAAA